TATTGGAACGTCGTTTTCTTTAGGCAAAAAGTACCAGGTGCCTTTTTGGACGTAAAAGATGCTCCATCGGTTTCGTGCGAATATCGCAATCGTGCGGCGTCTTCATTCTTAGGATCCTGCTATGCTGCAGGGTAGACCTCGTCATGCAAGGTAGCCAAAGCATATTCTGAAGGATGCAGCTTAGCAACATGTTCCAACAACTGTGCCCAAGAATATAAATTTCCTTCAAATGATGTATGTCAATGAAATCGACCACGCACAATACCCTCATCAGGAACCCCCGCTGGCTTCATCGAAGGCTGCGCAAGTCCCGCTTAAGAATTGAAAAAGGGCTACAATTACAATGATTTGATGGTAATGCTGATGATGCCACCCCCCACTGAATAACAACAGAAAAGCAGGGCAAATTGGTGACCCAAAACAAGAGCTCAAAATGTAGAATGATCCCCGATTGGCACAAAGCGACAGGTCTGACTTGCACATGGCGTATATGTTTTAATGTAGTGGTTGTAAGTTCGATCTGAATAAATTGTATGGTTTAAAGAATATATGTAAAAATTAGGTATTAAGATGTAATTAGTAGGTATTTATTTTCTTTATAGTTGTTTATCGATATATTTTATGCATAAGAAGGAAAAAATTTATAATCTAATAATCATATATATATATTCTATTTAAAAAATATCCGAATTATCCATTTCCCCGTAATTTCTTACCCATCCTACATCCTATAGAATAAATATTTCCCTAACAAAGAAGAATTAGGATTTCTCGATATTTATTGATATATTTTTTTTACTAAATTACTTATTTCTAAAGAAATATTAAATATCTTTACATATTCCATCCTTTATTACCTTCCGACACGCTAAAATAAACATTTTGCATATATATATCTATAAGCAACAATATTTTAAAATATCAGTTATATTTTTCATATTACCTTTAATAAATTTGAAGGTCTTCTATATATATTTTTACAAAATATATATAATAACTAACAAACATATAATAAAAAGTAGATATAAATATAAATTTCAAATATTTCCCTAACGATTCTAATATCCACTTTAAATAATCCTATCACCCACCAATACCCAATTGCCAAATGCATACGCTATATAATGCATCTCAAATTCGTCCAATAACGATATCCTATAACGACACCACATTTCCTCCTATATTCAATATAAATTGCCATTATTTGAAAAAAAAATTTATATATCGTGCCAATCTCTATACTATTTATAAATAATCAAAAATAAAAGTATTTCTAGAATATTTGTCCAATTCGCAAAAATAGAATAAATTAGGTTCATATAAAAATTAGACGACGAGTGGCCCGAAAGCATTTTTCATCACGTAAAAAGTCAGAGTGTGAATGATCTATTAAGTGTTCAGTGTGAAGTGTTTAAGTCGAGTGAGTTGAGGTAGTATGAGGGTTTCTGTATGTGTATCTATGTCCGTGTGTATATGAGTCTCTGTATGTGGGTGTCTTCGAGTAAGTTGAGGCAGTGCATAGATCTCTGTGTGCGATGTGGCCTCCCAAACCCCCCACCGGCGGCCAAGCGGTGACAGCCCAGTTCATCGTCGTCAGCATTTCAGCTGCTGGTAAGGGGAGAAGCAGCGTGCACGGCTGCAGGAAATCTCATTGCAAAAAAGCGAGCTGGAATGAACGCAGAAAATTACTGAGGTAGCCACGCAAGAAGTGTTTCGAAGCAATAACCTATCAAAGGAGATGCGTCCATCGATATACGATCAGAAATAATGATTCCTTCACTCCAGGATACAACTTTTCTAGGATGTAGTTCATCAATCACTATATTTATCATTGACTAATTGACTGTCTCAAAGAAAAACGTGACAAAGTAGCATGAGGTGACACACAGCAGGCACTATAGATGTTTTAGCGCATTCTCGCTGTTCAGTTCGCGACTAGTCTTTGAACACAGAAAAGATAGTGTATGTCTAGTACTTGTTGCGCTTCCGCAGAACGACGTCCTTACAGAATTTGTCAGGAAGAAATCACGGTATAAGGCATGCAATTGATTATGATGGGAATATCTTATTGTTTTTTCCACCTCCATTCAGGGTCTTTGCCTGGTCTAGTCTGGGTCCAGTGCGTCGACCCGAAGCAGATCTGATAGTATAGGCATCTGTGAAATTGCGGCGGTTGTTCCTCACCCAGTCTTCCCATCCACTGCACCACCTCATTCGCCAAAATTGCCAGGTTTCTCCATGGGCAGCCCAGTGTCTGGTTTCTATGGATTGGTTTGGCCATCTTTCATGGATGGCCATCTTTCATGGATGAGCTCTGGTTGGTTGTCATGATATGTCCTGCGTCCTGCTTCCATAGGACCAATAGAGGCATACCTATCTCTGGTCATCATGGGTGACGCTAAAGAAGTGGTCGGGCATGATGGCTAGGCAAAATGGACAGACCTACGAGTTAGTGGGCTGCAAATTGGTAAATAGCACATGCATAGCCATAAGAAGGCTCTATTTGCCTTATAAAAATTCATATAGGAAATGAATATTGCAAAAGCTTATAAGATGCGTTAAAATTTCTTGCAAGTATATTCTTCATTACTATTGAATTCATATTTTGGTAATTGGTCCAAATTATATAGAGATTTCTGCAATTTCATTATGAGTACCGAAAGGTCAGCCACGGAAAATGCACAGTCTATTTGCGCAAATGATTTAAAGGTAATATGTGCTTCGCTTTAGATATAATTAAAAACCATTATATTGATCATTTCCTAATCGCCTCTCCCAGAGAAAAACGTATCCAAGTAGCTGGAGGTGACACGCAACACCCATTACATATGTTGTTGCGTACTCTCTCTGCTCAGCTCGTAGCCAGCCCTTGTATCTAGAAGAGACTCCCCGACATTATGTCTAATATTTGTTGTGCTTCCGCAAAACGTCGTCCACACAGGAGTTATGAAGAAGAAATCATAATATAAGATATGCAATTGGTTACCATATAAAAATCTAAATGACACAACGCGTCGGAGAGCCTCTCATTACATTATCCTCTCCGGAGATACGGCGGCGACCATCTAGGCCAATTGGGCGGCGTCGAGGGCGCCATCTATTGGTACGTCCGCCAATGGGATGCGCTAAACAAACCTTCCAGTCTAGTCGTGGTAGACACTAAGTTCGATGCAAAATATACTACAAAGTCGCCAATTCTCATCTTCCAATTCCCCAAATACTCCGCGTATTAAAGTTGCACTACCAAGTCACCAATTCTTATCTTCCAGCTCCTCAAATACTCCGCGTACTATAGTTGCACTATACAATCGCCAATTCTCATCTTCCAGCTCCCCAGATACTCCATGCACTAAAAACGTACTATCATATCGCCAAATACTCCGTGTATTAAAGTTATATTACCACGTCATCAATTCTCATCTTCCAGCTCCCCAACTACTCCGGTTGTACTACAAAGTCACCAATTCTCATCTTCCAGTTCCCCAAATACTCCACGTACTAAAGTTGTACTACAAAGTCGCCAGTTCTCATCTTCCAGCTCGCCAGACACTCCGCGTACTAAAGTTTTACTAAAGTTATACTACAAAGGAACGATCTCCGCAGAGGGTTCCCCGCGTCCAGGGTGCATCGCGCTCTCGCCTACATTTCGCGCACTCGAGAGGCACGATCTCTGCAGAGTGTTGCGCGCACACCGGACAAATCGCATTCTCGCCTGCATTTCGCGCACGCCACACGCACGATTTCCGCACAGGGTTGCGCACGGACCGCACCAATCGTATTCTCGCCTGCATTTCGCGCACTCGACACGCAAGATCTCCGTAGAGCATTGCGCGCGGACCGCGCCAATCATACTCTCGCCTGCATTTCGCGCACTCGACACGTACGATCTCCGCGCGGACCGCGCCAATCGCACTCTCGCCTGCATTTCGCGCACTCGACACGCATGATCTCCGCAGAGGGTTGCGCGGTAATTTCACAGATCGCGCTCTCGCCTGCATTTCGCGCTTTCGACATGCACGATCTCCGAGATGGGATAAATCGCCCTCTCGCCTGCATTTCGCGCACTCGACACGCACGAGCTCCGCAGAGGGTTGCATTTTCGATTAACGCTATTCGTCCCACCCTCCGCCTTTAAGAGAGAATTCATAAAGTGGAGAAATGTTTTTCATTAGGACATCTCCCGTGCAAAATTTTCCATATTCATACTTGCATACTTGCATTGGGATTGCACTAGGATATTTGCATATTTTTGCACTTGGATATTTACACTTGTATACTTATCCTTAGATGCTTTTTACCCTTACACTGGGATACATATAGACGTATATGTGTTCAAGTGTCAGTGTAGCACCGTCAGTGTTCAAATGTAAGTGTAGAAATGTCAGTGTTCAAGTGCAAGTGTGGAAGCGTCAGTGTGTAAGTGTAAGTGTCGAAGTGTCAGTCTTCAAAGGATTTTCTAGAAGAACCCTTCGCAATGCTTTCGAAAATAAAAAATAAGAATTTAAAAAATAAAAATAAATTTATCAAACAAAAAATATATTAAAAATAAGTTGTCAATTAATAAAATTATTCAAACATTTTAAGTACAATTCCAAGCCCATTTAAGTATAACTCGAAAATTTTGCCTGTAAAAAGTAAAGAAATTTAATAAAATTATGCATATTCCCAATGTTTGTCCTAAGAAAAAGGAGCGAAAATCAGCCACCGTAAAAATATATAAATATAAATATAAGAGGTGAGTGCGAAATATGTGGCAAGTTTCCCACGCCCGGGATGCCTATCCTCCCCAGGAATTCTCAGTCCATATAGGGTGCCCTTTTGCGCATGGTTGACAACATTCTGCGCGGCCGCCCCCTATACTCACTTCGTTTGCCCAACCCAACTCCAGCCTAGCCCATCGGCTAGCAGGCATATAATGGTTGTTGTTATTTTACAATATTCTATCATTGTTCTTGATATTGAAGCCATTTCTGGTAACCCTGGTATTCTTTCTAAGCAATTCATAGTTCTTTTCTTGTTTGGGGAATTGTAGTTTGTACAAATCTCAAATTCATTATGAGGATGAAGTTTCCTTGCGGGCATCTGGAGATTGAATAACCCATCTGATTTGATGTTGTTTGTCCTTTAGCATGTTTTTTCTCTCGAAAGAATTGCCAAATAAGGCCCGCAGTCCTCCGCAGCAAATCACACAGATCCTGCCGTTGGAGCTGGGCTTCAGTGGCATTCGGCTGGCTATCCAAGGGCTTTTGCACAGACCTCGCACAAGTCACTCTCCCGGACAGCAATTTCACAATGCCGATGTCACCAGTACCCGTTAGTGCCTGACACGCTCGATAGCGGGTTTCTGTCGAGCTGCCAAACAAAGCCAGAATGCAAGGACACTGTGGTGGGCCACCGAAAGAATGCACCCACGGCTAGAGGTACATCATTGATGTCTCCACCGTCCAGCGATGCACGCTCCTGCGTCTTTGGGACACTGGACATTGGCCATTTGGCAAGCGCGGTGCGCACATTGAAGAATGACGTAGGGGTACAATATCTAATAGGCTTCGTTGACAGTTTAAATGCAGTGGGAATGAACAAACGGACAGCACTACTCAATCAAAGTTGCGACGCAACAGCAATTGAATCCATGTGAAACATACATGATGTGAGCAGCACCAGGGAATTTGAGACACGAGGGTCATGGCCAAGGAGCCATCAGCGAGTTGAAGTGAAAGTCGTGTCCCATCCTTTAGCGCCAAGAGTCGGTTCGGATGATTTGGTTCCTAGATTTTCAGGGAAACTTGACAACTGGTGGTGTTGTAAACACTGTGAAGTATCAAAAACCAGGTGCATAGTTGTTGGGTCTCAGATGAGATGAGACATTTAAGACGTCTCATGGACTTTGTGCCAAGGAGCATCACTCCTCCAGGTTTGATCTTGGGCCACCAAGTTGTGAGGTCCTGCAAGACGCTCCACCACTTGTGGTCGGCATCGATGTAAACCAAATCTAAGCCTTAGTGCTCCACCGCTTGACTGAAAGTGCTGTGATCCTGAAGATCGCAACCTAAGGCCCAATGGCCCAACTGGTGAACAAACAAGTCATTCAGGTAAATTGATATTCAAATGGATCTGAGCTCAAGAACTGCCATCCAGAAAGCACCTGGGGTGGGTTGAGGACCAACTCTCAACGAATTACTGTTCAGGAGAGCCACTTCCAAGAGTTCAGGACGTTGACGTCACAAAATTTGGGTCTGTAGGTTCTGGTCTATGATTTGTCTTTCTTCCAAGGCATGTTTGGGAGGTCTCCCTACTTCAACACGCACATGTAACTTCTTGAACTCTTGAGCTGGAACTACTCCCTCATCTGCCCACCTCGCTGGTGCTATGCTGGCACTGCGATGCACAAAAAGGTCCGCCGAAGACGCCGCAGCACGGGTTGTCTCGCCGCAGGCCCTGGCAAGTCCAAGCACGTCAAAAGGTGGATCCGAAATATTGACTTCCTCTAAGTCCATGCGATTAGGGGCTCCTGGCCGTACTACTTACTAGGAGCAAGGACGCTACTAGGGGCTCCTGGCCATACTACTAGGCAAGGACGTGCGTCAACAGCATGCCGTGAGGCGTCTCGCCTCTTTTCGCCCAACCAATGTGGCACCTCAAAGCGCCGAGCACCCTTTGCGCCAAAGTGATGCCACAGGCGCTGTAGAGCCGAGTTGTTGCTCTGACCAGCCATGTTGGACCCCGTCCCCAGCGACTCCTTGGAGCAAATCGAAATGAACTTTTTCGCCGACTTCCTACTTAATTAAAGTAGGCATTGGTTCTTTTCTATTTTTTGGAGCCCGTGGGGCCGTCGGCCTCCTTATTCAATCAGGTAGGCGGTAGGCGCCTACTTATTTAAACTAGAATTAGCTTGTAGTATCTGGACGCAGCATAGCTCACGCTCGCACTGATGATTTGGTTCCCACATGTTTAGGGAAACTTAAAAGCAGTGAGAGTGGCAAAGACACATAGATAGCTCCTATCCTGTGGCATCACACATACTTCTTCCTGTTGCACTCAAACTAAATGCTCGGCGCTACGGTTCCTGGTGCCCCTTGGTCCACCAAGCTGCTTCAAGCTCTTTGCGGGTTGCCAAAGGTACGTAGGGCGCACCCCAATGGTCCACTAGATGCAGCTCAAAGGCTCCTCGAGTCTTGGGATGGCTGGATAGCTCTTTTTTGAATGGTCCGCTTCCCCCCCTCCTTAATTAAGTAGGCACCTCGGGTAGCTAGTACCTACAAGTAAGCTACTACCGACAAGATGCAGGATAGCTCACGCTTCTTCAAGGAGCGCTCGCACTAATCATTTGGTTCCTAGATTTTTAGGGAAACTTAAGCGATGGCCTCCAACCTACAGCGACATGTCGACTCGACCCAACTTGTGCTCCTGGGCGCGCTGCACTGCGCTGCCAAATGTGCTTGGACAAGTTGCCCTGGAAGACACCCACCTCCACCATGCGGAAGGGCTGCGCATCCTGAGAACTTACAAACTTAAGCCTATGATTCATCCTCGTGACCAGGAGCAGCAGGGGATGGATTGACGCTGGTGCATCAACTACAAAATATCTTCAATCAACTATCAGACTCAGCTCTGACGATGCACTGTGACTAGTAACAAGAAGCTACTATATAGTAGCTCCTGGCCTTAAGAAGCTACTAATAACAAGGGCATCGCAACTAGTAACAATGGTTTTAATGTCTATTGTTTGCACGAAGAGGAAGCACCAAGCTTAGGGCGTCCACTGGATCAGACCACACGCGTCCACTGACTGCCGACCCCTTGGGGTCCCAGGCCGCACGTCGCGCCCGCGCCGCCACGTCCACCACGGCGGCCGCCCGCACGTCGTGGCGGAGCGGCCCGGAGGCGGTGCCAGCGATCCTCTGGACGTCGGGATGTCGAGTCTCAAGCCATGAAGTCAAAAGACGATGAAATCTGATGAAACAAAACACCACCCAACAGCCTAAACACCAAACCATCTTTCCTTGCATCAAACATGCCTAATCCTGACACATGTGTGTGGTTTTTTGCAGTGAGACCCCCAATCCTAACGCTGTTTGAACACGGAATCCCCCAAGTCAGACCACTGCTTTGTTCCAAAGAAGAATAGACGAGTGATGAAAACCGATCTGCCCAAGGCACCTGAAAACCGGTGGCTCCTTAGCCACAGCAGTCCAAATCTCTTGCTCGTTGCGGCGGGCCCGTTGGGCCTGGCTCTGAAAGTGGTTCAAACCAAGCTTTGCAGGGTTTGGTGTGTGTATATATATATATACACCTGGATTCATGGGCTTCCGTGGCACTGCACCTGTTGGTTTTACTGAGGCGGTTTTTTCTGTTCCACTTAGGGCTACTCGTATCTCTAGTGTGTGTGTGTGTGCTTTTGTTTTCAGATATGCATTTGCAAGTGTGAGGCGTAGGCCCTGCTACGGAAGCCACCTGGGTGTGGTAGTGGTGTTCACTGAATACGACTCCTACTTTTGGGAATGCTTCCAACGTCGTGGCTAACAAACTGTAGCCCCTCGACATTGCACGAGCATCAGCATGCAAACCAAGAGTGCAATCCTGCAACTCAACAAGCAAAAGCTATGCACCGGCAGTACCTCCTGTCCAAGCCTTGTGCCATGTCTCAGACTGAAGGTATGAAAAGAATAAAACAAGACAGTTCAAGCGGCCATTTTGGGCTCAGTACACCTCTAACGAAGCGGGGCAACAGGTCTGCAGTAGTCAGCTTTGTTTGAACCTTGAACCTTGACTGCCGAATGATGGCAGGTTACACAGGACCTCAAAAGAATGAAGGAATGGCCTCACGATAGCTGCGGCGATGCAACCAATAGGCCAGGTCCGACATGATGTCAAATCCTGAGGTTTGCTGTTATTGGACATGTTTCATGTGTGTTCATATGATTTCCCCTTTTGGGAGCGGAGTGATTTGTCTTTTCCAAAGGCTTTAATTGAAGCGCCTCCGTTCACAGGAACCCTCCAAGATCAAACGAACTTCTAGAGTCTAGCTTCACATCACACGCAGCTACCTTCAATCACTAGACCTGGAAAGTGGGCACAGTGCAACCAAAATGAGAAGAATCAGGACCTGCGCTCGAAAGCCTTCATCAAACCTCGGACCACGGCTCTATTTAATCAGCCAGAGAACACCCCAAAAGGCAACAAAACACCAAACCAAACAGTCCAAAGCACGCGGGGATTAGGCCCACTTGGGAGGGCCTGTTGATTGAAGAGATTTGGCTAGTCCTGGTGTAGATCAAGATCAGCCAATGAGAGACCAATGAACCACTCACGACATGCCATCCCAGCATTGGTCGGTGAGCCACCTGCTGGTGTGAGATGCGAATATATAACAGGATTTGATCGGGCTCTTGGAGTCAATGTAGACGCATCTAGAGTCTTGATTTTAGAGACATCCAGACGCAGCATGCGAACACAACTGGTTCAGACTGGAAAAGGCCAAACGTTTCGAAAGCTCACGGCGCACCATTTCTGGCCCTAGGCCCTGGTTGAAAACAGCAAGAGCCACTGGCCAAGACTCAACTAAGACATCCACCCCCAAACAAATCTTTCAAGCGCCAAGACTTGTAAGAACTCCAGCAACTTCAAAGCCTCGGCTCAGAGAAGTCTCTAAACCCCGGGCGCCGGTCCGGGAGGGCTAGAAGCAGCTCCAAAGAGCTTTGGTTGGCCCTTGTTGGAAGGGCAGATTCTGATAGCCAGCATTGCTCAACCTCATATCACCTCTGTATCACTTTGGATGTCAATATTGAGCTCGTGCTTCCTGGGTCTCCCGCCATACGCCACGTGCTCTGAAAACTGTAAACCCATCGCCTCTGCTTCGGCAGCTCGGAAAGTGTGGCATGAAGATGCAATTCAAGACACAAGTCAGGACTTTCCCGAACCCACATGCACTTTTATCAAATAACTCACAGCTGGCTGTGATGATGTTTCAAGCATGCTCCAGAGGTCGTACAACTGAAAGTCCGGTTGGAAAAAGTACATACGAGGCAATGGCCTGCAGTTGAACTCTCTACCCTCCAGCGCATCCCTCCAACTCCTGCAAACCAATCTGTTTTTCCCTGAGATTCTCCAGGGCCTCTGGGTCCAGAGATGGCCGAGCTTGGCAAGCAGCGAAAAGTGCTCTGACCTGAGCAGTATCCTGGAAATCCGAACAGCCTTTGTGACATAGCTCAGCTACAAACGTTTCTGTTAGGGGAAAGAGCCAATTTCAAGGCAAAAAACATGCCACGTCTAAGACACTCAAATCCACAGGGTGATTTTCAAAAATCCGTAGCCTCAGCCTCTCGTTCTCATGGACAGTTCGCGTCTGCCCAGCATCTCTGAACTGCAAACACCAGCTCTTGATTATTATTGAAATCATGTCAGTTTTCACCAAGTGACACCCCGTGTAAAAGTTCACCAGGCAAACGGAAAGCATGTGCTTCGCACGCTGTTGGTGCCCAGCCTCACACTGGTCTCGCTTTGCTGGAACCTGATAAACACTCTTCCTGCCTGCTGGGTACCTAAAGGACTACAATAGTTCTTCCGAACCAACAGAGGATCTGCCGACCGGAAGGCTACAAACAAGACAATTCTAACCCGTGCAACTCTGATTTGGGAGAGTGCAAACTAGAGTTTAGATCTCTTCAATTTATGTAAACAAACGATAGAGCGAGTGCATTCTCCAAAACTTCTGAAAGCCAGACCGGTGGGCTTATACAAGGTTCTCTGCACACGAGCCCAGGCTGCCTCTCAAGATCTGGCTTTGCTGGGCGTCCCATTCATTCAAGGCCTCCTCAAACAGAGATGGCACTGTTCATGTCCAATGACTGGACAAACCATGCCATTGGCAGGTGTGGTGTGGTCACCAAACCATCTACATCGAGATGAACATTCTGGAAGAGAATGGTTCGTGTGGAGATTGCAGAGACTAGAATACTAGAATAGGTCCCAAGTAAAATCCTGGTCCTTGTTGAGTTAAATTGATGGACATGTATGGACATGTTACATGTTGAAATGGCGTTTACTACCATTCTCATCCAGGTCTGCTGGTTGATGTAGACAAGGAGATGCAACAGTCAAGACATGGGTGAAACGAACACACCCTGTGTTGTCACGACTGTTAAGTTTCCCTAAAAACCTAGGAACCAAACGAAGAGTGCCAGCGGTTCAACAAGGAAGCATGAGCTTTCGTGCATCAATATATAACTAGTAGCCACCTCTTGCTACTAGCGACTAAAGCTACTATGACCTGACCCCAAAAAGACAAAAGAAAAAGAACTGAATGCTGCTCCCTCATCAATTACTAAACTGGTACCTCCACCGCTATGTTCGCTCCTCCCAGCTCTGCATGCTCCTCTTCCCCAGCAAGACCTGCTGCAAGGCTGGCTGCTGCCGAAGCGCTTCACATGCCTCATGAAAGGCCTCGCAGACAACTAGGACTTGGAAGAAGTGGTTGACAAGTCTTGCGCGTTGGAAAAATGCAAGTAAACATCATGTGGCAATCTCAAGAACTGCATCACTTGCAGCCCGAGTTGTCCGCTCATGACCCAAGACGCAACTTTGGGGGATGCTCTGGCTGGCAGAAGCTCTTTCATGAGCATGCAAGGCAGAAAAGCAACTGATATGCATGGACAGGGGTTCGCACTTCTGGAGAACCATACACTGATGCAGTCCTCACCACCTTTGATAAACGAACTCTGTGAATGCCAATGGCAGGGATATTCTCCAAGGATATCTCAGAATCAATCAAAAAGCATGTGTCCATTTGTCCATAGGTGTGTGTGTGTGTGTGTCCACTCCTGTTTCCAAGGACACTACTCTAGCTATTTCTACTCCTATGACTTTTCAGACCTTGTACAGTAGCAGGGGGCACGGCGGCCGTTCACCTAGCCGTGCTAACAAAGCTATGGTGTTCGGTTGGAAGAGATACTGGACGCAGTATTTTGCACCTGCAATTTTAATTCTCACTCATTGATGCTTCTAAGTCAGTTCAACGCTGTCTCATACGTTGTTTTGCAGTAAAGTGCTAATGCATTCGGCTAATGCAGTAACTACCCTTAAAGTGCTAATGCACACCGCGAAGCAGCCTGAAATCGCGCTCCACGGAGCAACCTTCTCAAGTGTGTGTAAGCACCAAACAGAACATCCCACGTGCGGCTCCTGCTGGACGAGCTGCAGGCATGAAACCAATTCCGCACTGGGGCGGATCCCCTGAGCTGCCCAATCTTTGGATCGGACGATGTGACTACGTTGACCGCAACAGGACAAGTATGAATGCCGAACTGCAGGACACAACAAACTCACTGGAAACTGCCTGTATGTGTTTACCACCTTTCAAAAAATTATTACGGTCTTTGGTTTATATACTCATGAGTGGTTGGCACGCACAAACTGCATCAAGCAGAGCCTTGCCGGGAGGTGCGGCCTTCCAAGGAACCTAGCAGCCCATCCAAACATCCGACACTCATGTGGCAACTTTGCACACCGGAAGCGCAACAAACAAACCCTGAACACAAAGTATTCAACGCCCTCCAATTGTCAATCGAAAACACTCAAGTACTCCAAGTGTGCAAATATATAAGCCGAAATTGACATTGAAAAACAGGAAGAAAGAAACAGAAAAGAAAGGAAAGGAAGATCTAATGTCTAAAACTGGCCTAAAGCGAAGAATAAAGTTTAAGGAAAGAAAAAGAAAAACACGTTTCTAGTTGACAAGTCAATCTCTGCCAAGTGGCCAAGTACTCCACCAGGTCCTCTGGAAGATCACACCAATCCCCTGCAAGCAGGGTCACTAACTGAATTCAGGTCGTTCAATCGATCAAATCCATCAACCACAAGGGTCACCTAGGCTTGTCTAAGATTCTAAGGCCTGTCATATGAAATATGGCTTGCAATTGTTTACACCAATGCTGTTGATGCTCTTGGTTCACAAATCTTCAAGCCTAGTCAGGACTGTTCACATGCAAAGTCTTGGAGTCTTGCAGGACTTCCAACAACCCCACCCCACACTATTTTGGCTTGTCACTACATGAAACATGGACTGTCCAGAACCGTATTGGTTCTTGCACCAACACCTGGGTAATCACTCGAAAGTTCCTCGGGTTTGTCAGTCTCAGCTCATGTTGCTGCTGAGCTGAGGCGGGTCCAAGTCTTCTCGGCTCAGCGTCCTCTCAGAAAATCCTTGCTCCTCAGGATGCAAGAAGCTTGCTTTGGCTCTGCGCTGTTGCAACTGACATGGCCATCTTTGAACCATGACACACCCGCTATGATCAAGTGGGTCAAGAAAAAGGGCAACCCTTGGCCAGTTCTGCTTGACATTGATCAAAACATTAGCAAAGGTCCCGATTGTGCCAGTCGACTTGGAATACTTCGGTCCAGTTCGGGAGGGCGAGGTGTTGCCAAAGCCGACGTGCATCAAACCATTGGTCAAAGTTATGGACCTCTGGACAATGAGAGGTCCTTGGAACCTGTCGCTATGGCCCGGCTCAACAGGGTACCATCCAATCCGGCAAAGAAACAGGTTGGTTCCTTGCACGTTGGGTCCAAGATTATCCCCGGTCCAAGGCTTATTTCAGCAGGCTTAATTCGTTGTTTCCAAGTTTCCTCTGCAAGCATCAATGCAGGGTTGGCCTTGCCATTCACAGCACTTGTTGTCGACATTAATTGTACAATGATGCAATACCACTTATGGACCTGCGGACTCTTTCTGTCTCTGAAGATTCGTTGTTTGGTACCTTCGAAGATTTGGGTGTGCAAACTCGCCTCGCCTGCATACAGCTGCACAAGCTTCACCGCTCGAGCCTGCGAGATGCCGATCACCAAGCACTGAGCAGTCCAACTGGACTAGAATCGACTACACCAATCGACGAAAGAAAAAGAACAACTCTCTGGCATCCCACTTGTTACCCACCACCAGGTCACCTGCCCAGCTTACCCGGACCCCCACCTCAACGACTCCAAGGTCCACTGTGGGCGGAGTGGTCCGCACCACATTCAGCTGCGGGAAGGCGGAACCATCGAAGGTGGGATAGATGAACTCCACCTGTTCACATCGCGCCGATGAACGACACGAATCGGTGAAGAACCCATGTTCTGCTGGCTTTTGGGAACGGCTCAACCCGAATGGCTCACGGTTGGAATCTTCTTTGCAATCTCTTATTTTCTGACGCTAGCTCTTTGGTCACCCATGTTGGGTACATCCAATATTATGGTTCAATAATCTGGTCAAGTAGGCGTCACGCTGCAATTTGTACGGAACGACGCGTGTGTTCCATTTCAAAGCGAAGATTCAGCCATCGTGGCGTAATTATCCCGAAGGTCACTCGCCTCTACTGTCGGATAGGTCACTCGGAAGGTCAGCGCCGAGCCCGGCGGGGTAGGCGACGAGGTCCCCCAGGGGGGCGCCTCACGGTCGGGAAGCCGAGACGGGACAAAGTCGCATCAATGTCAGGAGAATGCCACAATTGCTTCTTTGATTCAAACAAATCAAAAAAGCTCCAAGCCCAGTCATTGGTTGCGAATTGCCTCCCAGGAGACGTCGAAAAACATCGCCAAGGCATCCAGGTCATCTGGAAATCGACGCATCCAAGAGCCAACAATCAATGTCACAATGTGTCACGTGGCTGTCGTGGCTCAAACGCCAAAAGTCTTCTGAGACGATTGCCAAAAAGTTGAATGCTAAAGAAAGGCTTTCGCTCAAAACAGCCAGGCTTGTGCTGATAAGTGTGGCTCTTATTAAAGCACAACAACAAAGCATAGGGGCACACAAAAGCACAAGAACAAAGTCTTCAACCACAAATCCACCTTTGCAAAATCTCAAGAACGGGTCCACGTTGCAAATCGGGTTCAACGCCTTTGCTGGGTTCTGGGAATCCTGACCAAGTCAACACCTGTCGAGGTCACGAAGACCTCCACTAGTTACTAGGTACAGCAAGCAGGACATACCAACAAATCACAGGTTACAGTAAGTTCTTGGAAAATCTCCTCAACCAGGCAAATCACATTCCTTCCTCTTAAGCTTTCTGGAGGCCCCGCACCATCGTGGCCAACGTAGATACTGTCGCCGATGGGATTCTTCCTTGGTACTCATGCCTTTTTGTGCAACTAAAAAAGAATTATAACAGGGCAAACAGACCTTTAGAACCCTAGAACAAGATATGGTTCTTACCATCGAGGAACTGTTCCTCTAGCACTTTTGTGCACCGTCTTAAATCAAAGCTACCCTCGATCCAGAAGCTTCTAGCTTCCACTTGCTGTGGCGGCACCATATTTTCTTGAAGACTTATCAAGAATATCTACCAAACACCGCAGTGTACCTCCTGTGCATGCCAAGAAACAGCTGCAGCATAGTGCAAATCCTACAGCAGTGTGGAAGCACTAGTGCAGACAAGGAGCAAGTCCCCAATGACCTCAAACTCTTGCGGGTATAACACAATCTGGCCATATCCGCCCTAGCTATTTGTGATATGATTGCACAAGTCAATGTGGTGGTTCAACCCCAAACCAAGGCAAACAGCACACCTCACAAATCAATACAAATCGGACATTATCATAACTCCTCATCACAGCTTGAAGTTAAGTCCAGTGAATTCTGAAAAGAGTTTGCAAGTGCCCGGGCCTTTAGAATGCCACAGGCCTTCTTCACTGCCAGCACTGCAGGTGTCTGGAAGACCACCTCGCAAAGAGTCGGAATTGGGACGAACAAGACCGAGCGGGCCTAAGTTAACTATATAACATGAAAGAAACGGTTTTTCAAAGTGATCTAGTTCTTGACTCATCTAATTCCACACCATCTCCACAGTTCTAAATGCCCCAGACGCGTACCTGCCGTTGATAGTGGATCCAGGAACTCCATGCATGTCTCTGCTCCAATGTGGCTTTGGTATACTTGATGCCTGCATATGACACTGGAAAGTCAAAAGAGAAGAACCGGAGACATGCACCAGCCTTCCCAAGCCCAAGCTTGTTTCTGGAAATGACACAAATCAGCTTCTGATTTGTTGTAGTAACTGTAGTACTCTCCACTCCATGCTCCAAAGACGTTGAAGGAACCGAAACAATGTAAAAACAACTTTGAAAAGAACAGCTTCAATGCAATCAGATTTCCGGCTTGGTGATGATGTACGTAGAAGTGGCCGCATGCCATCTGCACTGTTGTAGCAAGCGAAACATACAACCGCGCTCGGTCACCCCAAACACCTGATCCGAAGCCATAGATCATATTCTGAGCAAAGAGCTTGATGACATTCACTGCTCCCATCATGATACCCTTCTCAGGGGTAATCTCCGGTAGGGGCAGGTCCTCATGGTATCTCATTCATGCAACGACCAGTGACCAGCGCACCGGTCACTGGTCCTTGCACAACAAAGCACTTCTTGTTCAGCTCCAATTGAAACTGACGGTTTGGGGCACATACATCAGCTAAGCACTCTGAATCAACCCAAATCACACCATGTGCAAGCTGATTCACTCTGAACCCGATCTGCGTCTGTTGAAAAAAGAAAGCAGAAGCAGCGCCGCTCTCCTTCAGTGGACCTGCCACACCTTGGCCGATGAGACCTTGCAACTCTTGTAGCAGTTCCTGAAACCTGGCAACTTTGAGGTCTAACAGTTCCTGTGCTGGTTCGCTCTTTGAGTGTACCAAAATGGTCAAACAGTACGATGGTCAAACATCTCGCCATAACGGTCTTGTGTTTATCAACCCAGGCCTGGTGAGATTCATGGTCGGGCGCGGTCCCACACCCATTGGCATAGCGATGGAGGACAAACGTGCAGCGGACTGGCCAACGTGAAGGGCCTCATCTGGCGGATGGCCTCAGTTGAAAGGGGATGTTACTACTAGCTTCTTGTTACTACTAAGGTAAGGCACCTGTTACTACTAGCGATGCACTTGTTACTACTAGCTTCTTGTTATGGCCGCAAAGGAGCCATGGTTGCAAATGTGGGACCTTTTCAATGCCAGAACCAACCCAACTGGTTTGACACACTTGGTCAAGAAGGTATTGCAGTGACAGAGTTGTTTGTACCGAATCAAAGCGGTTGTCAAAGGGAGCTTGTTTGATGGGGCACACCACAACAAGGTGTGCAGTGCAGCCCTTCAATTATTCTTGCAGGAGTAGAAGAGGCGACATCTTGATTCAGAGGAAAAGCATGGTTATCTGTCCTTGCAGTATTTGGGTTGCAATGGCCAAGGCCTTGGCCAAAACTTCCCCCCCCCGCGTTGTGAAGCCCAAAGTGTCTGGTTGACCTAAACTAGCACAGAACGTGCACCACTGCAAAACATACTGCAAATACCTTTTGGCCCTTCGAAGGGCGAAAATCCTGCGAAGGGTGAAGCAATCTGTGCCTCGTAACATTTTCTCTAAGGCTTCCACAAACCCCTGCTCCAGTATGGGGGTCGTAAGAGTTGAACACCAACGGCAGGAACTCGACCTGAGATGATGCCATGTGGAGCTCGGGAACGGTCCAAGCCCTCTCTCTCTCTCTCTCGCAGGAGCCCCCAGTAGCGTCCTTGCTCCTAGCGATGCCAGGAGCCCCTAGTGAACGTCTCTCTCGCTCTCGCTCTCGCTCTCTGTCTCTCTCTCTCTCTCTCTCTTGAGTTCTGATCGTTTGAGCTTGTATATCCCTGAGGACTGAGGGAAGCGCTCGAAAGCTCAAAGACATTGATTTGGCCGAACTGCATGGCCCCAGCGAAATTCGGGGTTGAAAGCACCCAATTAACCCCATATTGAACGTTCTACTTTCAATATATATATATATATATAAATTGTTTCAATAGCAAACAGCCTCCTTCTGAACATTAACAATCTTTCGGTGCAGCTAAGACACCATGGTGTCAAAGGTCAGATTCTCAGCTTTGGCTTTGTCAAATCGGTCCCAGCTCTTTTTATATGTCTCTCTTCACATCGATTGTTCTCTCTTTTCTCTCAACCGGTCAGGTCAGGGTCGCAAAAGGTGACATCGAGACCACCATTTACAGCGAGTATTTGCGTTTCAGCAAAAAAAGAGTCTGTAGTTGTAGCCAAGAGTCCTTTTGATGAATTCCTTGCATCAAGTAGTTTGCAGAAGTTGCATCACGATTCTTTGTGTCACTAATCCTTAGATAAAAGTAACAAGGGACACGCAAATGTGGATCCGCCTCAAAATGGTTTGCAGAGGATGAAATGTGGCCTCCACGTTTCGAATAGCCATTTTGGGGTGCGAAAACTGGGAATCACTACTGAATCACATCACTTAACCACCCTGCAGCCCACAGGATGGGAACCAAGCGACCACCCTGGTTGTCCAACAAACGTCGAATCTCTATGCAAAGACCTACCGGGCAAAATCCTTGCGCCTTGCTTCCATCTCCATCCCCCATGGATTGTTTCTGCTGTGAGGTTGACACACAAAACGAGGCGTGTCCTCGATCCGGCGGTCCCTTGTTAAGAGGACACTGACACTGAAAAGAACTAGCAGAAAAGAACTAGCTGAATTGCTGGTCATGAGCCCAAGACGACCAAGTCCACCCTCCAACGAGGGACGCCGGAGGGGTCTGGGTTGATGGAGAGTGCAAGGGAAGATGAGAGACTCGACCTTGGGGCAGAACGCCGCCAGAGGAGAATGACCTCGTCTACCAAAGGCAGGAGCTGAGCTGAATATCATTGAGGTCTAAAGAGAGTGGAAAGGGGTGAAATGTCAACCAGCGAAACCCAGACTGAGGAGCTTGGGGTTGAGGTCGTGACAGTGAGTGATGTGAGGAGGTCAGCCATGGGCCTTGGAACATCGATTTGGGCGAAATTCAAGGCGAAGCCAGCACCTTGGCCCAGTCAAGGAGGGACGTGGGATGACGTGGGTGGTGAGAGACTCTACAGGATGGCCAAGATTTGTCAGTCGCCGAAGAACCAGGCGATTGGAGCAGAATCCGTTTGGTGTCGAGCGCGATGGTGTCAACCAGCGAGGTTGAGCACCACATCAATGTGGGGACTTGGGAGTTGGATGATTCGAAGACTTCCCGGGCGCAACTTGACGGCGGAGGTGAAAGAAGGATCATGTCGATTCCACCCCAGTGCTGTGCCCAGCCAAGGACACATGGCTCACCTTGAAGTAGACTGATGAAGGGAAGAGGATCCCGATCAGGGAACATGCCCAGGATCGCCAGAAGCGATATTGTATAGATATAGATATATATATATTTATTTTTTTTAGTGACGGACTGGAACTAAGAATGACTCCGCACTTTCCAAACAAAAATACCCCGAACTTAGAATGACCCGCATGTTTCAAAAAATTGGGCAACTTAGAATGGCCACGTGGGTAAGTGGTGTGGGGCCATTCTAAGTTCCAGACCCTAAGAGAGTGAGTGGTACAGGCAGCGAGAGTGTGTTTTTCCCGGGCTCGCTCTTGTCCCTTTGATATCCTTTGATGATAACGATCCATGCACAGGATCAGGCCATCAATTGCGCACTGCTGCCGCGTTTGGTCAGAAACCCATGATATATATATATATATAACAATATATATATACTTATCTTATGCACAATGGCACAAAGTTATTTAGAAACAGAAGAAGCAGTGAAAACAAGCAACGAGAACTGAGAAACTGCAGCAATTTGGCAAACATCGTCTGAAATGGCCTGAATTTTGCCCGTTTTGCAACAAAGCGGCACAGAAACGCTATATATAAATTACAGGTCATGCTAAGTTGTTTGGATTTCGGCTAAATGCGTGCAGCAGGGTGCGTCAGAAAGGTGCTCCGCGTAGCACAAATGTTGACCATGTTCAAGCTGCTTTACATATTTTGCTCAAACATGCTATGATTTTGAGGTCATGCCAAGTTGTTCTGATTTCAGCTAAATGCGTGCAGAAGGGTACGTCAGAAAGGTGCTCCGCGTAGCAAAAATGCTGACATGCCCAAAGGACAATTTCGTTGCATATACGCAGCAAAACGGTGAAATTTGCAAAAATCAAGATGTTACTACAAATACTTTTGGGGTATCTGGTCGGCGGCATCTTTTTACATTCTAAGTTTCCGTCCGGCGCTCTATATATATATATACATGACTTTGAAAGCCAGACGCTTTGGGGAGAGGCAGAATGGTCGCCATGGAGAATGACCGTGGCATGGTCGACCCTTTGCAAGAAGATGATTGTCGTAGATTGCAGGGAAGGACGGAAAAGCACCTACAGATTGCACTTAGGTTGGTGGCCATCGCTACTAGGGTGGAGGCCATTGCTAGTAGGTTCGTTTTAATGCTACTAGGTTGGAGACCATCGCTACCATTAACAAAACAGCACCTACAAGCCGTACACCTGTTACACCCTCTGTGTGACCAGGTGAATGAGAGAATGAAGATGAAAGAGAAGGGGGCTTAGGCCAACGACGCTACTAGGAAATAGGAGCAAGAAGCTACTGGGAATGAAGAGGAATGAAGAGAAGGAGGCTCAAGACTCAAGACAAGGCCTAAATGGCCAACTGTCAAACGATGAGGAAAAACCTCACGAGTTTTGGCAAAGCGCCAAAGGTGGAGTGCTATGAGGCGAGTTTGGGCGAAGGAGTGCTACGAGGCTTTTGTTAAAGGACACTCCTTCGGCAGAAAGAGCTAGCGGAACTGCGGTCTCAACCCACCTTCTTGGACCAACCAACCACCTGTCCCAACCAAGGATCACTCTGATTGTCTGTGAGGTTGCAGAGGAAAGTTTCGAGGACGCAAGGCGGTTTCCAATGTGTTCCTCAGTCTGGCAAAGGCACCCAAATCAACACCCTAAAAGCCACAAGAATCTTAGGATCTTACCAAAAGCCCCAAAAGCATACTGCGCAGTCTGTCAGTCTGTAATCTAAAGACAAATAGCATAGCACGGAGGATTGAAGAGAGCAATATGACTCAGAAATACACTTTCTCCATCTGCAGCAGCAATAGTTTCGTTCACGCAATCACTCTCACTGTAGTTTGAAACACTTGATCCAGGTTTCCATGATTTCGGCACCCCGCAGCGTGCACCACTTGGTTGGTGTTTCCCAATTGGGCAAGGGCAGGTTTGTGAAATTCTTTGCGAAGTGAAAGCCATCAACGCCTTTCACCTGTTGGCAGCTGGAAGCCATCGAAAGAGTTCTCAAGAGTTTACACATGTTTACACTTGGTACCTAACCACTGCAATAAAACACTTGACAAAATGTGCAAAAAGAACGACTGCTACTTCTCACCACCACTATCCGCTATGCGTGTTGACCTCATCCGCGAAAGTCAGCCGAACACACCAGCGCTCGGCACCTCCTCGCCCGTGGAACGAATACAGTGCCGAAAGAAAAAGACCTCGCAGCAGTGGTGACCGGAGGTGCGCACTTTGGTTCAGCCAGCAGATTCCAGCTCTGAAACATCCTGCCTGCTTGCCAGTTTCTTTTGCGAAAGCCCTGCCAGTGTGCAATCAAACAACATGCAAGACGCGGGCAAGCAAATTAAAGTCAAAATACACTGTGATGTACACTCATTCTGCAAGTCACCTATACGCATAATCTCGTAAGTGTCAAGGTTAAAAAGAAAGAACGGTACAATACAACGTTCTTCTTGGGAGCCATAGTCGAGCTGCGGGCTTCCTACGTCACAAGCAACCACAGTCACCATGTGAGCCTGTGAGCACAACTGAGACCCGACACTCCCATGCTTGAAAGTCTACCAAGATCCTATGTGAACTCGCAGAGTTAGGTTTTGAGTCGCACTGACTCTGACTGCGACCATGGTTCCAACCAGTTGAGCTGATGGACCTCTAGGGCTTGTCTTGTCAAAGTCACCCGGCCAGCCTCAAATGGTGCTTGCCTTGATAGTCCTGAGTGTGCACCATGTACTGCGTGGCTGATTTTGCACCAGCATGGGGCTTCACTGTCTGAAAGTCCAAGAAACGCAGTGCAACCGGTTTGCTGCAATTCATCTATTTGTTATGGTCCATTAAGTTCGTTTAGCGCAGCTAAAGTCTGAGCCGGAGTTCGCTTTGGTGGAAATTGATAGTAGTATTTTTCTTGTCCAAGAAACTACAGTGATAGCGTCCTTGCTCCTAGTCGCAACGCCCTTTGTTACTAGTAGCGATGCCCTGCTACTAGTAGCGTCCTCTTGTCCAAGAATAGTCTTGGAGATCAATCCCAAGAGGTACTCCTTTTCTTCGTCTCCTTGCCTGATACCCGCAGGCCGTGACTGCAAGGATGAGCAAGACTCGCGCCATGTTGCAAGGTGGTCTGGACAAACAAGGATAGTGTGAAAGTGAAGCAGCCTGAGCGTGGACCTATGTGAAGTTAAACAGTTATCGCTTGTGCTTTAGAAGAAAGTCGATAGTCGATAGTACACATCCAAAATTAAACATTTTGGGGAAGAAAATTGTCTCTTTCTTCACAACAGCTACTAAACTAAACAGTCAACTGGTTTGTTTGCTGTTGCACTGTTTCTGGTATCTTCTGGGTTCGTTTGGCGGATACCTGAAGCCGAAATAGCACCAGTCAAATGGATTGAGCTGATCGAATGCCTCAAATTCTCAAAACCTGTCCAGCTAGTAGGTGAGGGCTATATAGCCTATATATATATGAACATGTTGGGGTGTGTAGAAACAAAAAACGGTTGTGTAGTAAAGCCAAGAAGGTAAAGCGGACCTGCAGGGGCCCTGCAGTCGCAAAATGTAAAATACAAAACGAAGTTAGTTTAAGAAGGCAGATCCAAGGAGAAGCTGAACTAAACCTACTCTTTGCAGCAACTGTTTCTATTAGAGGTTCTTACATCCTGAAATGCTGCTGATTCTTTGACCTCGGTCGACATGCCTGCTACGAAAGGCATCCAAGAAAACCATGGCACCAGTCGCATATCGCAGGCTGAAACAAATCTGCGTGAATGTACTGTACTGTGTCATCTGTCAAGTCAGCTTTGAGATGGATGATGTTGCTGCCTTGGAAGCTGCATGTACATCTGATGTTGCCACAAGCACATACTTGCATTCTGACATGCTACACCTTGTTGAAACGATACCCTTTTCCAAACGAACATAGCAGTGATGGCAGTTCACATTTATATACCCAATCCGGTGCATGATAATGTGACAAGTGCAGCTGTCGTTGACCATGAAAAAATGTGTGTATGTGTGTGTGTCACCTCCTGTTCCTGAGGAGCTCTGTCACGCCAAACCACCGTTTGTACAGTAATGCAGGGGGCTCACGGGTCTGTTCCTGGCGTGAGCCAACAAAGCTCCAGGTTCAGACTAGGATATTGAGAGAGGTCTTTCGACGTACCTGCACTCTTTCCTTCTGTTTGAACTGTTGTCCAAGCTGTTCACCCTACTTTTCACTAAAGGGCGTAAAGGGCTAACGCACTTTGTTGAAACATTCTGTTCTTGCCGACCCAGCACTTCATGCCGTTGAGCCAAGTCAAGGTCTAATTGCAGTAAAGGTCTAATTGCACTAACGCTGGAACTTCCAAACTGATATATATAGCTCTTGCGAGCATGGATCGAAGTGTGTGAATGAAATACAGAGAATGGATGAATTGATCCGCGCTTGTCTTGAATGACCCAAGGCCTAACAAAGCCTTTCACCAAAGCAAACATGTGTGGGGATACTTCATCAGGGATGCCTGATGCCCATGCACTTGAGTGCTTTTGGCTGCTTGCAAGTCTGTCCAACTTGTAGAAACGCTTGCGGAGAGAGAACCCTTTGACTTTCATCTCCAGGGTCAGAACTGTTGCGGTCACTTCAAACTACAACCACGGTATTTGGCTTCCCTGCACAAGAGTCTGCACTTGGCTTGGGTGAAACCAAGTCGGAAAATATTTGCCGCATAACATCTCTCTCCAGATAGCACAAAGCACAACCATAACTGGTGAAGAGTTAAGCCACACACACCGTTCCAATCATAGCCGCGGCGATCCTTGCTTTGAAAGCCTCCTTTGTAAGCTCTCCTGTTGTGAGCATGCATCAGGTTGGTGAAAGCTCATGCATCCAGAATTCGAAGAAGTGGTCGGAAGGCGCCACAATGCTGCAAGATGAAATGTGCTTGTCCAAAAGAGCATGCGTTTGTGAATTTGACATCCTTTATTGAACACCGGGGCATCAAGAGTTCAAGTCAAGAAGAGGATGATCAAGTTGTGCGGGTGTCATGCCTATTTGTGGACAGTTGAGACTCTGCTTGAAGTGCTCCGGTTTAAGACACCTCATATCCTATGCTTTCCTCCCTTCATTGACAGCCAGAGGCGGATGTCGTCTCATTCAATAACTAACCTCTCGACACCAGCAGTGGAAGCATCCATGACCTCATCGACAAGCTCAGCTGTGTGGACAAACAACGGTGTTGATATCACTCTAATAGCAATGGCCTCCACCCTAGTAGCGAATGGCCTCCACCCTAGTAGCGAAT